TCCCTCCCTCTATATATACATATATATATATTAGCAAAATGCATGTAGCTCACATATATTTTGTTAATTTTAACCAAAAAACATATATTTTGTTAATTTTAACCAAAAAAAAAGAACTCACATGTGTTTGGAATTTGACAATCAGACAATCTTGTAATGCAATGGGCTAGACTGTACCACCACAATCGTAACCTGAACCGTCATGTACCTTGTTTTGGGGTTCGGCAGCTATTACCATTGCCTAGTATTAGGTTTGCAAACATAGAATCGACTATGAAGCACGGGTACGGGTACGGGTACAAGTACTGGTACTGGTATTGGTATGATACGGGTACGTCGATACGATAAAATCTAAAAAAAGTAGAATACGGATACGGCTTGGTACGCTTGTAAAATAAATATTTATTTTTAATTTAGAGTAATGCAAAAATTAATTAAATGATTTAATTTGTTAAGGTTCAACTTATAATTAACATTTAATGACAAAAGTAAAAGTATACATCAAAATTAAATGTCAATATATTAAATAACTTAAAAACCATAGTTTAATTTCAAAATCATACTAAGCATAAAACAAAAAATAAAAAAAGAAGTCTAGTGAAATGAGTTTTATCTCTGTAATAGAAGGAAAATATTTTTTTAATTGAGGTACGGTACGGCTTGGATATATACTAGATACATTTGGGTACCCCAAAAATTAAGAAAAAAAACTTGGGTACGTGTTTTGTGTATCTAGTACGTATGAAGAAATACCATACGAGGTACGGTATGTCGGTAAGTAGCCGGTATGAGTACGACATGTTTTTCGAAGTACTCATGCTTCATAGGCTAGAATCATCTAGGGAATTAGATGTATAGATAAACTTGAGACATCAAATTTTACCCTTTTTACATTTAGGCTCCATCTCTTTCAACGTAAAATGTTTTCAATTGTAAAATATTTTACGGTAAATATTTTTTCGGGTAAAATGTTGTTTACCACTTATTTCCTGTGTTTGGCTAAACTACTAAACAAACTTTTCTGGCAAACATTCTACCTAACAGTTTGAGGACATTTAACTTGTAATTTAAATTAATCAATATTCATATGCATAACCAATTGAAAACTATAAAATAGAAGAATAAAGCCATCAAAAACTAGTTCAAACTCGAAGTAAAAAGTGAATGATTGAATGAGCCAAATCACCCCATGAAGGCTCCCAAGCTATGTTGTTCTTTAGGAGAGTGTAGGGGGGTTTAAGGTTAGGAAGGTGATTAGAGAGGCAAAACTATACTAATGGTCCAACAATGGTGGAAGTGGCTGGAAAATGAGCAGTAGCAACTATTTGGGAAGTTGGAGAGTGAGCAGCTAGATGAGGCTGAAGCAGACAGCTCATGAAGAAATGTATGGTAATGCACAAATGGGAAGTATCTCTCCCAAATCCCCAATAATCTTCTTCTGGACCTTGGGAAATGGGTCCTATTTATAGGCTTTTCCTTGGTACCAAGAGGATACCAAGTGGCCAAATAGAGAGAAGACAGGTGTCCCTAAGGATCACACAGAATATTTTGCCTTGAGCCACCAGACTGAAGGTGCCACGTGTCTTTTTGCATGTATTATGTACTATCTGTTTGCCTCCGCAACTATCTTTTTGAGCCCCAGCAAGTGTAGTTGCGACGGGAGTGTTTGCCTATGCACTTGCCTTCTCAGCTCGAACCTCAGCAAGTGCACTTGCAGCGGTAAACCTTACCGCTACACTTGCCTTCTCAATTCTATTTGGCCAGTACACACATTCGACCTCAGGACTTCATAGCCTGCTATTAGCCATGTTCGTGTTCACCTCAGCGAAACCTCCACCCTTAGCCACCTAACCACAAATTCCCTAGCTTCCCAGGGCAAAGGCCATAGCCAAGCCTGCTATCAGTCATGCTGTGCCTTAGTACCAAGCCCAAGGGGGCTTCCGTAGTTCTGCCTGTGCGACTAAGGCAGGTTCATGACCTGGGTAATGGAAATGGAGTCCCTTACACTTGGGCTACCTTGCTCCCATCTTCGCGGGGTTGCCGCGATAAACTGGTGTCTTTGGGCCTGCTATTAGCTTCAACTAGTAAGTCTTGGGGTCTGCTATCAGTGCCAAGTTAATGAACTTTGAGGCATGCTATTAGCCCTTAGCAAGTAACGCCTTGGGGCATGCTATCCGTGCCAAGCATTAGCCTGTATTTGTAGAGAGGAGCTTCTCCCAAAGGCTGCTATCACTTTGGCAGGATATTTCCTCCACAAGTTAGTTGCGGAAGCTGTAGTTGCTGCGATCTCAGCATGAACCTTACCGACACCTAAGCGAGTGCACTTGTAACGAGAGTGTTTTTCGTTGCAATTCACCTTCTCAGCGTGAACTTTTACAAGTGCACTTGCGGTGGGAGTGTTTTCCACTGCAACTTGCCTTCTCAGCATGAACCTTACAGACGTCTCAGCGAGTGCACTTGCGACGGGAGTGTTTTTCGTTGCAATTCGCCTTCTCAGTGTGAACTTCTACAAGTGCACTTGCGGAGATAAAACCTTGCCGCTGCACTTGTCTTCTCAGCTTAGTTTGGCTAATACCTGCGTTCTTAGGACTTTATAGCCTGCTATCAGCCATGTTCGTGCTTACCTCAGCGAAACTTTCACCTTTAGCCACCTAACCACAAACTCCCCAGCTTTCCAGGGCGAGGTCCACAGTCAAGCCTGCTATCAGCCTTACCGTGCCTTAGTACCAAGCCCAAGGGGGCTTCCTTAGTCCTACCTGTGCGACTAAGGCAGGCCCATGACCTGGGTAATGGAAAGGGAGTCTCTTACACTTGGGCTACCCTGCTCCCATCTTCGTGGGGTTGCCGCGATAAACTGGTGTCTTTGGGCCTGCTATTAGCTCCAACCAGTAAGTCTTGGGGTCTGCTATCAGTACCAAGTTAATTAACTTTGGGGCATGCTATTAGCCCTGGGCTAGTAACGCCTTGGGGCATGCTATCAGTGCCAAGCATTAGCCTGTATTTGTAGAGGGGAGCTTCTCCCAAAGGCTGCTATCACCCTGGTAGGATATTTCCTCCGCAAGTTAGTTGCGGCAGCTGTAGTTGCTGCGGCAGTCATTTCCCGCAGCAAGTTCAAATGGCAGAACCGACAATATTGGAGATGGCAATGCTGACAAAATGCCTCCACAACTTGGGCGCTGCAAGTACTACCTCTGCAACTTAGTTGCTTCGATTTTGTCCTTCCCTCGGCAACTCCGAATGGCGGCAGCATCGGCAATACTTGGAATGGTGGCGATACCGACAATACTTGAAATGGCGGCGCTTAGACAAAGTGCCTCCATAACTTGGCCGTTGCAAGTGCTGCCTTCGCAACTAGTTGCTTCAATTTTCTCCTTCCCTCAGTAACTCCAGATGACGGTGGAACTGAATATATTAGGAATGGCGACGTTGGGGCAAAGTGCCTTAGCAACTTTCCCACTGCATATGTTCCCTCTACAACTTGATCGCTGCAGGTGTTGCCTCCGCAACTTGACTTAGGCATTTTCCTTCATGGAGTCTGCTTGGACCCTTGGCAGGTCGCACCTGCTTCGGCCCATTGTTGGCCCACTTTCTTTGGGCTTTAGCCCATACTCCTTTTTTCATTCTTGGTTGCCTTAGAGGGGCGACCTCAACACTTAGGCCCATTCTTGATTTGGAGCTTAATTTTTGACCCTCGACAGAGAGTTTATGGTTCATACCGAAAAGCTGTCGAACATGTGGCAAGATGGTCGATGGGGTCAAGAGCTACTCATCGACTTTGATGAATATTGGTTAAAGGCAACATTTATGTCTTTTTATTTTTGTTATTTCTAGAGAAGACTGTTGAGGCTCTCAATTTGTTTTTGACAATAACAAATGGAAGATGGATCCATAGGTCATTTTACCACACTGAACGTAAAATAACTTGCATGTAAAGTGTTTTACAAGGTCTCAATGTACATCCGAACACCAAAAATTATAAATAAATAAAAATAAAAATAAAAAAATTGGGTAAAATATTTTATTTCCAAAAAAATGGAGCATCAATGTCAATGTTTTTCCAGATAAAGTTTGTTATTACTTCCAGACTTCATCCTGGCTGTATCACACTGCAACGTCTAAAATCTTTATAAATTAGCTTGGGCCAATCACGATTAATTGTCTCTTATTAATCTATTTCAGTAGGGTTCAATTTTTACGCCAATCTGTTCATGTTTTCATGCTCACTTAAATCCCTGTGCAGGAGAAACTTTGCAGCATGATGTTGATGTTGTGAAACTTCAAAAATCAGGTGGTGTTGTATTCAGGAATTCAAAAGTCCGTCAGAAGTCCAGGAGCTACAGGATAACGGTAAACAAAAAGCTTTCTGGTTATTAAATAGAACTTGATTGTTAATTCTTTATTTGCTAATCATGAATTGCCTGGCTTTTAGCTATATTTGTTTGTCTCCTTAGTACACTAGCTAAATCATGCCGATATTGTTTATTCCAGGAATATTTTTATGGCGTTGTAAATGATCTTTTGCCACATTCAAATATTGCAAATTTCAGTAATTTGTCTGTGTATAAAATTGGTGGTGTGCCAATTGGTGCAGAGCCAGCTGCAGACCCAACAAGGTTGGTCCCTGTGAATATCAACCGGGACCTGCTTCATTTAGTTCTTGCTGTTTCATTTGCCAAAGAACCAGAACAAATTATTTCAAGGTATGCAAACTCATTGCCTTTTCTTTTTTCTTATGTTATGATAATACAGCAAGAAGAAGCACTTGGTACAATCGATTTGGTTGCTATAAACTCTTTTTTCGTGGCTGATGGCGTCACTCAATTGGGGATACATATTGCTGAATACTCTAGATACTGCCATCTCCCAATACTATTATTTAAAACTGTGTTAGTGACAGAAGAGTCATGTATTTGTAGCCTTCCGATTTGGATTGCCTGTAAATTTTTAGCCCTTTCTACAACTGTGCTGATTAATTTACTCTTGCTGACAGTAATGTTGCCGGGTTCATCTATATCACAGACATCAACATTCACAGGTTTGAATATCCAATTTTTCCACTCCTTGATTTGACAGCTATTGTATATTGTATATACATTGCTTTTGTTTTGTTCTAAATGTAATTTTTCATTTTCCAGGAAGAAAATTACATACCTCGCACCATCTGCCAGGCAACTCCCAAGCAGATTCTTGATCATGGGAACTTTGACATGGCTTGAAACCTGAATTATTTAAAAATAATTGCAAGTTGTGCCTTGTTTTTGGTTGAAAGCTTGGTTTAATTGTTTAGTTTTAATCTTATCCCCTATTTTTGTATGTATTATCGCATTCCAAACCTTTTGCCAAAGCTGGCACCAAGTTTGACAACTGTCAAGGTTTGGCGAAGCTCTCTCTATTTCTCATCATGGGTTCCCCAAATAACATTGTCATTTGACATTTTGTAAGGAAAATAGAAAGAAATTACATTTTTTTTTTTTTTTAATGATTGTCAAAATTATAACAGTTATATTTTTTTATGATTGTCAAAATTATAAGAGTTATAGTTCTTTGAATTTGACATTACCATTTATCAAGTATCCACCATTAGAGCTGCTTTTAGAACATGGATGCTCTGTATATAGAGTTTTGTTATTTATTTATTTTTTGGTTCTCCATTAGATCTGCAATTTTTTTGTTGAGCATCTCCAACGGTAGTAGGCATTTTACCTATCTAAATATTACTATAAAGTATACATTTTATTTTGCCTATCAACTGTTTTATGTTTTTACTCCAACCGCACTCTTTATTTTAGCTATTTATCCAAATACTATTAATTTTATAGAATGCCACGTCAACAACAAAGATGGAGGGAAATGATCCTAATGATTGAATACATTTTGCCTAGCGTTGAAGGCTAGCTACATGTAGCTAGTGAATATGAGTTGAGCCAAAATGCCTAATCATATGCCTAGTGCATTGGAATTAAAAAAAGTGAATCATACTAGGCATTTTAACTAACAAGAATTATATGCCTAGTGCATTGGAGATGCTCTTACAGGCGGTTACGTTTATTAAAGTTGATATACACTAGGGCCAAGTTTGGCTAACCTAAAAAAGTGCACTTATTTCATCTTTTTATCTTTTTTAGGTCACATCAATCAACATTTTCTCCCTACTTTTTCTACACATAATACAAAAAAAGTCAAAAAGTGTACTTATTTAGTCTTCCCAAACTTAAGATGAGGGGGAAAAATTCAACTACCCACCAGCAATAAGGCCAAGTTTGGCATGATTGAAAAAAGACAAAAAGTCACTATCCTATTTAAGTCACATCATCTTATTTAAGTCACATCACCTCTCTAACACATCACTTCAAACCCAACCCAAACCCAACTCATATTTCATAAAAAGTCAAAAAGTGCACTTATTTAGTCTTTCCAAACTAGGCCTCAGTATGAACATGGACAGTAGCCTGCAATAATGATTACTTCAGATTTACAGAAGTACCCTTAAATTCAATATGAAACTTTAATCTTTTGTATTCTTTCATAAAATTAAAATATTAAGTTGATGGGTAAATTATAATGAGTTTCAAAATTTGTTTAAGTTTAATTTATTAAATTTTCGAGTTGATTTCAAATAAATTTTTGTTAAACTGAGCTCGAGAAATTTAGATTTGGTATTTTTATATAATTTTAAACTTATCAAATAACCCAGTCAAATGAGAAATTAATTATTTAAGTTTGGTTTACTAATTTTAATAAATTTCATAATATGTTAAAGATTAGCTTGTTTATTCAATGAATCAAGTTTGATTGAGCTCTTAACAAGCTGAATATGAGTCAAGGTCAAAATATTTGGTTCGTTAATCATTCATAATCAAATTCTAAAGGGAAACGTACGTGTAAGTCTTAATAGGTGGACCTATTGTCTAATAGGTTTTGTGAGAATTAATCACTGTGTTTGGTTTGAGTTTTTTGAATTAAGTTTTGTGAAAATTGAGTTTTTTGATTTTCGTATTTTTTCGTTTTTAGTGAATGTTTTTAAAATTTTAAACATTTTTTTTTACTTTTTTAGATGCACCTTACTTAGATGTATCTAAAAAGTAAAAAAATTGTCAAAAAATATTTTAAAAAATTAATAAATACATAAAAATACAAAAATGTACTAAATTCTTGTATTTTTTTTTTATATTTTTAGTATTTAGTGAATTTTTAAAAGATTTTTTTTAATATTTTTTTACTTTTTAGGTGTATTTATATTAGAAAAATTGCTTAAAATATTAAAAAAATTAAGTAAAAACAAAAAAAAAATATGGAAAATAAGAAAGTAGAATTTTTTGAAAAGTGTTTTTAGAAAAATGAAACCAAGCAGGCTGATTGGCATTTTTCATCAAGCTCTATTTAAAAAAAGTCACAAATTGTTAATTTTCAGTGACAGATTGAAAATTTTATCACAAAATTATAAGTTTTAGCGACGGTTTAAAAACTCGTCACAAAGAAACGTTGCTAATTTTTAACTTTCAGTGACAGTTTGAAAAATTCATCACAAAAAAGTCACTAATTGTAAGTTTTATCGACAATTTATAAAAACCATGACAAAAGGAAAGTCACTAATGGTCAATTTTTAGGGATATATGCAAAAAATTGACACAAAAAATTATTTTTAGTGACAATTTTACTATGAATTATTTTTAATAAGATTTTATTAAAATTAAATCCAACTATTAAAATCTATTAATAGTTTACCCAATTCTCTTAAACTCTTCTTCTATCTATAAATTATTTCCCATCAAGATAGTGACGGATAGTAAGAGTGGGAAATTATAATTATGAAACATTCATTTAAGTAGTTATAATCCAAACCAAAACATCTGTCTCAGATGAGGTAGGAAACTCATATGAGAGATCAAATGGCTTGAGCCACACACCACCACCACACAAACCCAAGAGACGTGGTCAACAGCAAAGTCTGACTCTATGCAAATAGGATGAAAGAGAAACTTTAATAAAAATCAAAATTCAAAGAAACATCCCAAATTACACTCTCAAAAGACAGGACTAGTTATGTTAGGTAGTGTTTAATAAAAATCAAAATGATAAGGTGCTCAAAGAGACATCGCAGAACTACGCTTTCATTCAATAAAACAGATTGTGTTAGATAGTATTTAGTTTATTGAAATGAAAATGCATTAGAATGAAATGATTATTTTTTAATTTTCTCACGAAATGGCATGAAATAGACATGAGCATGAATCATTCCAATAAATCAAACATAACATTAAAGAAAATGAAGTAATTTTATTTTACGTCATCAAAATGTCAATCTCTTTCTCACTTTTTGATCAAACTTTTCTCTATTGGTGAGCTAAACATAAGATCTTATTTAGGAGTAATTCTATTTGTATATCACATTTTATCTCAAAATACATAATTTGTTTCGTTTCGATATAAATTTCCAAACAAAAAAATAAATATTTGGGTATTAACTTTTGAACAACACAAATAACATTAACATAAAATATGGTTTGTCAACAGAATTATCCCTTATTTAAAAGTTTAATTGTTAAAAAAAAAATGAATAATTATATTAGTTATACATTCAACATATGTATCAAAAGTTCAAGATTCAAATAAATAAAAAAAATTAATAGAAACAAAGACTAGAGTTTAATCCTAGAAGAAACTACCTATACCTTATCTTAAAGATAAGAAGAATGTATATATATATATACATAGTGAAGGATAGAGAGACAAATTGTGGATCAAAGTGAGTGGGTGATGGCCATCATTGGGTGTTTGTCAAATGTCTTTATGGGTTTCAATTTCTTTGATCTAGGCGTAATAACTCACACTCTAAAAAGACGTTATAAAGGTTTATGATTTGTATTTTCCGGCTACTCCCTATATAAGGAAAACGAGTGGGTGCAATTATTCTTGACCTTCAAAAATTTTTATTTATATATATATGATTTTTAAAATGTTTTCAATGTTTTGTAATGGATTGTTTGTTATTTTGTTAAATGCTTTCAATGTTTTAAAATGGTTTGTTTGTTATTTTGTTAAGTATCCACTTTTTTTTTTATTGGTCGTGGTATATTTGTGATCCTTTCTTTTGCTTTTGTCTATAATTTTATATGTAGACTCTATTTGTTTAAGTAAAATATTTTGGTTAATTTAGTTGAATAAAAAGAAAGTTTAATTTTTTTTAAGAAAAATATTTTTGTATAATTTTTTTAAAAATGACTTATTTTAAAAATTTTCGTAGGTCAAAAAAATTGACTCTCACTCACTACATTTTCAACATATTTAGTTTTTTCAAATAAATGTCTTGACTCATTAAAAAGTCATAAATGACACTTTATTGAATTAACATTTCTCTTTTAGACAATAAAATATTTTTGTTTCAACTGTCAACCAAACGCTGAAAAAAAAAAGAAAACATTTTTTCTGTGTAAAATCAATTTACAAGAATTTTTTTTTTTTGTGTTAAATACTTTACGTCAAAACAAACGAAGCCGTAATGTATGTTGATTTCATCAATGAAGTCTTTTTTTTCGCTGATAAAAAAAAAAAAAATTGTGATCCTCTCTATTGCACATTTGTAAGAGAAAGACTCCATCAGATCATCCAATAGTATTCACCAAAAAAAAAAAAAAAAAATCATCCAATGGGGAGTATAATGATCTTTTTTAATTGAAAGTAATCATAAATTTGCATTCTATTTCATAGTCATTAAATATGTAATAGAATTCTTCTATTACATACATGAAATGGTGAGGAGCAAATTCCCTTTCCAAGTATCTCACACTCTTGTCTTTTAAATTTCTTTTAGCATGTGATAAAAGTGGAGAGGTCCAGTCCGGCCCATTGTGGGCTCATATTAGTCTTGCCTCGACGATTTAAACGGTTTGTTTTGTGCGACTTATCGATTATATAATTGATATCAAAAATTAAATTGATCAGATATTGGTAACTACTTGATCAAATCACATTGGTTTGAAAAAAATAAGTGGACTATCTTCAAAATCGTGCAATGTCTATATTTTTTAGACAAATATAATCCGATCAAGTAGCTTGCCATTGTCTGATCAATTTGATTTTTGGTATGAATAATTTATTTAACGAGTCTTATAAAACGAATTGTTTAGATCGTTTAAATTGGCCCAATATAGACACATAGTGGGCCAGATTGGACCTCTATAGTCCGATAAAGGATTGGAGAGGAGTTACTTATGAGCACAATGAAGTCGGATGATAAAATTATTAGCATAATGAGATTTAATTGAAAATGTAAAGATCAACTGTGTTTATGTATTAGTTGTTGTAGAAAATAGCAGAAACTAAACAATATTATTGATAAATGATGCAAAGAAAATAAGATACAAATAGATCAGGCTGAGGCACGGATATCTCGTTTTCTTTAAGGAGATCAAGCCCACTGCGGTAGGAAGAATCCAAATACCGATGCAGCAGTCACAATACTATGACTTGTCCCCTCCAGGATACAACA